TTTTCCCAAATCTTCCTTCAATTTCCACCACCCTCCTTCCCCCATCCACAAAAATTTGTCCCCAAATTCGGGAAAATTCCCAAAATTCCACCAGAATTTGTCACAAAATTGGGAAAACCCCCAAAATTCCCATTTTTTTTCTGGGATAATGAAGATTTTGTTTGGACTTGGCCACCTCCAAGCCCAAAATTCCCAGATTTTTTTCCCTTTTCCCTAAATTTCCTGGAATTTTTAACCCCCTCTTTCCGCCATCCACCAGAATTTGTCCCAAAAATCCAGGAAAACCCCCAAAATTCCCAATTTTTTTCCCAGGAATCACATGACCTTGGACGGATTTGGGAATTCCAGGGATATTTCCAAGCCCAAAATTCCCAGATTTTTTTCCCTTTTCCCTAAATTTCCTGGAATTTTTAACCCCCTCTTTCCGCCATCCACCAGAATTTGTCCCAAAAATCCAGGAAAACCCCCAAAATTCCCATTTTTTTCTGGGATAACCACCATGGCCCACCTGGCTTGCTCCCGGGCTTGCTCCAAGCTCGGAATTCCGGTTTTTCCCAGGAATTTCCCCGGGAGGCGCCGGGGGCGCTGCTGGAGCTGCTGCGGGCGCTGCTGCGGCGCCGCCCCCACGGCCTGCAGGAGATCTTTGCCGTGAGTGCCCCGAATCCGGGAACGCCGGGAACTCCGGGAACTCCGGGAACTCCGGGAATTCCGGGAACTCCGGGAGCGGTTTCGGGAATTTCAGCGATTTCGGGAGTCGGTCGGGGAATTATGTTGGGAATTCTGGGGGTTATTTTGGGATTTTTTTGGGAATTTCTGGGGTTATTTGGGGTGGAACAGGAATTGTTTTAGGAATTTTGGGAATTATTTTGGGAATTTTGGGAATTTTTTTGGGAATTTCTGGGGTTATTTGGGGTGGAACAGGAATTGTTTTAGGAATTTTGGGAATTATTTTGGGAATTTTGGGAATTTTTTTGGGAATTTCTGGGGTTATTTGGGGTGTAACAGGAATTATTTTGGGAATTCTGGGAATTTTTTGGGAATTCTGGGAGCGATTTCGGGAATCGTTCGGGGAATTATGTTGGGATTTTTGGGGATTATTTTGGGAATTCCGGGGATTTTTGGAATTTCTGGGAGCGATTTCGGGAATTAGGTCGGGATTTTTTGGGGATTATTTTGGGAATTCTGGGGATTTTTGGGAATTTCTGGGAGTTATTTCAGGAATCGTTCGGGGAATTCTGTTGGGGTTTTTTTTAGGGATTTTGGGAAACGTTTTGGGAATTGGTTCAGGGTTTTTCAGAAATTATTTTGGGAATTTCTGGGGTTATTTGGGGTGTAACAGGAATTTTTTTGGGAATTCTGGGAATTTTTGGGGAATTCGGGGAGCAATTTCAGGAGTAATTCGGGGAATTAGGTCGGGATTTTTGGGGAATATTTTGGGAATTCTGGGAATTTTTCTGGGAATTTCTAGGAATTTTTTGGGGTGTAACAGGAATTGTTTTAGGAATTTTGGCGATTATTTTGGGAATTCTGGGAATTTTTTGGAAATTTCTGGGAATTTTCTGGGGTGTAACAGGAATTATTTTGGGAATTCTGGCAGCGATTTCGGGAATCGTTTGGGGAATTATGTTGGGAATTCTGGGGGTTATTTTGGGAATTCTGGGGATTCTGGGAGTGATTTCGGGAGTCGTTCGGGGAATTATGATGGGATTTTTGGGGATTATTTTGGGAATTGGTTCAGGATTTTTTGGGAATTATTTTGGGAATTCTGAGAATTTTTTGGGAATTATTTTGGGAATTCCGGGAATTTTTGGGGAATTTCTGGGAGCGATTTCGGGAATTAGGTCGGGATTTTTTGGGAATTATTTTGGGAATTCTGGGAATTATTTTGGGAATTTCTGGGAATTTTTTGGGGTGTAACGGGAATTATTTTGGGAATTCTGGGAATTTTTTGGGAATTTCTGGCAGCGATTTCGGGAATTTCAGTGATTTCGGGAGTCGTTCGGGGAATTAGGTCGGAATTTTTTGGGGATTATTTTGGGATTTTTTTGGGAATTTTTGGGAATTTCTGGGGTTATTTGGGTTGTAATGGGAATTATTTTGCGAATTTTGGGGATTATTTTGGGAATTCTGGGAATTCTGGCAGTGATTTCGGGAATCGTTCGGGGAATTATGTTGGGAATTCTGGGGGTTATTTTGGGAATTCCGGGAATTTTTTGGGAATTATTTTGGGAATTCCGGGAATTTTTTGAATTTCTGGGAGTGATTTCGGGAATTAGGTCGGGATTTTTTGGGGATTATTTTGGGAATTCTGGGGATTTTTTGGGGTGTAACAGGAATTCTTTTGGGAATTCTGGGAATTATTTTGGGAATTATTTTGGGAATTCTGGGAATTATTTTAGGAATTTCAGTGATTTCAGGAATTATTTTGGGAATTCGGGGAATTCTGTTGGGGTTTTTTAGGGATTTTGGGAAACATTTTGGGAATTGGTTCAGGATTTTTCGGGAATTCTGTTGGGATTTCTGGGGAATTTCTGGGATTATTTGGGATGTAATGGGAATTAATTTGGGAATTCTGGCAGCGATTTCGGGAATTTCAGGGATTTCAGGAGTCGTTCAGGAATTATGATGGGATTTTTGGGGATTATTTTGGGAATTCTGGGATTTTTTGGGAATTTCTGGGATTTCGGGAAATTATGATGGGATTTTTGGGGATTATTTTGGGAATTTTTTGGGAATTTCTGGGATTATTTGGGTTGTAACGGGAATTATTTTGGGAATTATTTTGGGAATTAGGTCGGAATTTTTGGGGGATTATTTTGGGAATTCTGGGGATTTTTGGGGAATTTCTGGGGTTATTTGGGGTGTAACGGGAATTCTTTTGGGAATTTTGGGAATTTTTTTGGAATTTCTGGGGTTTTTTGTGGTGTAACAGGAATTGTTTTAGGAATTTTGGCGATTATTTTGGGAATTCTGGGAAGCGCGGGGAGGTTCCAGGATCCTTTGGGATCTTGGGGAAATTCTGAGGAATGGGGAATTGGGAATTCCGGGAATGGGGAAATTCCTGGGGATGGGAATGGGGATGGAAAATTGGGAATGGAAATTCTGGGAATAATGGGAAGGGGAAATTGGGAATGGGAATTCCAGGAATGGGAAATGAGGATTGGGAATTCTGGGAATTCCGGGAATGGGAGAATTCCAAGAAATGGGAAATTGGAGGTGGGAACTCTGGGAATTCTGGGAATGGGGAAATTCCAAGGAATGGGAATAATGGGAATGAGGGAATTCCAAGGAATGGGAATTTTGGGAATTTGGGAATTCTGAAAGTTGTAGGAATGGGAAAGGAAAATTGGGAATGGAAATTCTGGGAATAATGGGAAGGGGAAATTTGGAATGGGAATTCTGGGAATGGGAATTCTGGGAATGGGAATTTTGGGAATACTGGGAATGGGGAGAATGGAAATTCCAGGAATGGGAATTCTGGGGTTGGGAATCCTGGGATTTTTGGGAATTGGGGATTGGGAATTCTCAAAATTCTGGGAATGAGAAACTGGGGATAGGAATTCTGGGAATTCTGGGAATTCTAGGAATTCTGGGAATGGGGAAATTCCAAGGAGTGGGAGTTTGGGAATGGGAATTCTGAGAATTCTGGGAATGTGAGGGGAATAATGGGAATTCCAAGGAATGGGAATTTTGGGAATTTGGGAATTCTGGGAGTTCTAGGAATGGGAAAGGAAAATTGGGAATGGAAATTCTGGGAATAATGGGAAGGGGGAATTGCAGGAATGGGAATTCTGGGAATGGGAATTTTGGGAATTCTGGGAATGAGGGAATTCCGAGGAATGGGAATTTGGGAATTCTGGGAATGAGGGTGGAAAACTGGGAATGGGAATTCTGAGAATTTTGGTAATTTGGGAATTCTGGGAATGGGAAAGGAAAATCGGGAATGGAAATTCGGGGAAGAATGGGAAGGGGAAGTTGGGAATGGAAATTCCCGGAATGGGAATCCTGGGATTTTTGGGAATTCCAGGAATGGGAAATGGGGATTGGGAATTCTCGAAATTCTGGGGATAGGAATTCTGGGAATTCTGGGAATGGGGAGGGGAATAATGGGAATTCTGGGAATAATGGGAATGAGGGAATTCCAAGGAATGGGAATTTTGAGAATTCTGGGAATTTGGGAATTCTGGGAGTTCTAGGAATGGGAAAGGAAAATTGGGAATGGAAATTCTGGGAATATTGGGAAGGGGAAATTTGGAATGGGAATTCTGGGAATGGGAATTCTGGGAATGGGAATTTTGGGAATACTGGGAATGGGGATGGGAATTCTGGGAATGGGAATGAGGGAATTCCGAGGAATGGGATTGGGAATGGGAATTTGGGAATTCTGGGAATGAGGGTGGAAAACTGGGAATGGGAATTCTGAGAATTTTGGGAATTTGGGAATTCTGGGAATGGGAATGGGGGTGGAAAATTGGGAATGGGAATTCTGGGAATTCAGAGAATAATGGGAAGAATGGGAATGGGATTGGGAATTCTGGGAATTCCGGCAATGGGAATTCTGGGAATGGGGATGGGGAGGGAAAGTTTGGAATGGGAATTTTGGGAATGGGGGTGGGAAATGGGGAAGTTCCAAGGAGCTCCCTGGGGAACCTCCTCTCCACAAGGATTTCCCCACCAGAATTCCAGGATTTTCCCTGTAGAATCCCAGGTTTATCCCTCCAGAATTCCAGAGTTTTCCCATCCAAATTCCAGGGTTTTCCCTGTGGAATTCCAAGATTTTCTCCTTGGAATTCCAGAGTTTTCCTGCCCGAATCCCCGGATTTTTTTCTGTAGAATTCCAAGATTTTCCCACCAGAATTCCAGGACTTGCCCTGTAGATTTTCAGGATTTTCCCACCACAATTCCAAGATTTTCCCACTAGAACTTGAGGATTTTCCCTGTAGAATTCCAGGGTTTTCCCTCCAGAATTCCAGAGTTTTCCTGTCAGAATTCCAAGATTTCCCCTGTAGAATTCCAGGGTTTTCCTGCCAGATTTCTGAGATTTTCCCTGTAGAATTCCAGCATTTTCTCACCAGAATCCCAGGATTTTCCAGCTGGAATTCCAGGATTTTCCTGGGATTTTCCCTGTGGAATTCCAAGATTTTCCCCCTGCAATCCCAGAATGTTCCCCTTGGAATTTTCCCCTGGAATCCCAGGATTTTTCCTCTGGAATCCCTGGATTTTCCCTGCAGAATCCCAGGATTGTCCCCCTGCAATTTTCCCTCTGGAATCCTAGGATGTTCCCTGCAGAATCCTGAGATTTTCCCTGTGGAATTCCAGGATTTTCCCCCTGGAATTTTCCCCTGCAATCCCAGGATGTTCCCCCTGGGATCCCAGGATGTTCCCCCCGGAATCCCGGGATGTTCCACCTGGAATTTCCCCCTGGAATCCTGGGATGTTCCCCCGGGAATTTCCCCTGGAATTTCCCCCTGGAATTCCCCCGGATCCCAGTATTTTCCCCCTGGAATTTCCCCCTGGAATCCTGGGATGTTCCCCCTGGAATTTCCCCCTGGAATCTTGGGAATTTCCCCCTGGAATTCCCCCGGGATCCCGGGATGTTCCCCCTGGAATTTTCCCCTGGAATTTCCCCCTGCAATCCCAGGATGTTCCCCCTGGAATTCCCCGGTATCCCAGGATGTTCCCCCGGGAGTTTTCCTCGGGAATTTCCCCCGGGAGTTTCCCCCTGGAATTCCCCGGCATCCCAGGATGTTCCCCCGGAATTTTCCTCGGGAATTTCCCCCGGGAGTTTCCCCCTGGAATTCCCCGGTATCCCAGGATGTTCCCCCTGGAATCCTGGGATGTTCCCCCTGGAATTCCCCGGTATCCCAGGATGTTCCCCCGGAATTTCCCCCTGGAATTTCCCCCCCGGAATTCCCCGGTATCCCAGGATGTTCCCCGGGTATCCCAGGATGTTCCCCCGGGAATTTCCCCCCGGAATCCCGGGAATTTCCCCCTGGAATTCCCCGGTATCCCAGGATGTTCCCCCGGGCCCAGCACTTAGGGCCCTGGATCCGGTCCCCGCGGGGCGCGGAGCGGGAGCGCGCCCTGGGCCTGAGCCGCGCGCTGCTGGGATCCTTCCTCGGCGAGCTGCGCCTCAGCGTGAGTGCCCGCCCTAATTAGCCTAATTAGCCCTCGTCAGCTTCATTACAGTGATCCCCTTCGATAACGAACCTGAGCCCGGTGCCCGGATCCCAGTCCCGGGTTCCACTCCCGGTTTTCATTCCCAATTTCCATCCCCAAACTCCATCCCCAGTTTTCATTCCCCGTTTTTTTTCCCCCAAATTCCTTTTCCAGTTTTCATTTCCAAATTCCATTCCCAATTTCCATTCCCTGATTCCATCCCCCAAACTCCATTCCTGGTTTTCATTCCCAGATTGGATCCCCAAATTTCCTTCCCAGATTCCATTCCAGGTTTTCATTCCCAATTTCCATCCCCAAACTCCATTCCCAGTTTTCATTCCCCGTTTTTATTTCCTAAAATTCCCTTTCCAGTTTTCATTTCCAAATTCCATTCCCAATTTCCATCCCCTAAATTCCATCCTTGCCCAGATTGGATCCTCAAATTTCTTTCCCAGATTCCATCCCCAATTCCATTCCCAAATTCCATCCCCAAATTCCATTCCCAATTCCATTCCCCAATTCCATTCCCAGATTCCATTCCCATTTTCCCCCTGCAGTCTGTGACTCCTTTCCCAGTTTTTATTCCCCATTTCCATCCCCATTTCCATTCCCAATTCCATTCCCAATTCCATTCCCAGATTCCCTTCCCACATTCCATTCCCATTTTCATTCCCATTTTTGCCCTGCAGTCCCTGACCCCGTTCCCAGTTTTTATTCCCAAATTTGATTTCGACTTCCAGATTCTATTCCAAATTCCCTTCCCAGATTCCATTCCCTGATTCCATCCCCAATTCCATCTTCCATTCCATTCCCAGATTCCATTCCCGGATTTCATTCCTATTTTCCCCTTGCAGTCTCTGACTCTGTTCCCAGTTTCCATTCCCATTCCCATTCCCATTCCCATTCCCATTTCCATTTCCATTCCCCAATTCCATTCCCAATTCCATTCCCAGATTCCATTCCCAGATTCCCTTCCCAGATTCCATTCCCATTTCCATTCCCCAATTCCATTCCCAATTCCCTTCCCAAATTCCATTTCCAGATTCCATTCCCATTTTCATTTTTGTTTTCCCCCCGCAGTCCCTGACTCCGTTCCCCGTTTTTATTCCCAAATTCTATTTCCATTCCCAAATCCCATTCCCAATTCCCTTCCCAGATTCCATTCCCAATCCCATTCCCATTTTTCCCCCCGCAGTCCCTGACCCCATTCCCAGATTCCATTCCCCATTTCCATCCCCAAATTCCATCCCCATTCCCATTCCCCATTTCCTTTCCCAATTCCATTCCCAATTCCATTCCCAATTCCATTCCCAAATTCCCTTCCCACATTCCATTCCCATTTTCATTCCCATTTTTGCCCCGCAGTCCCTGACCCCGTTCCCAGTTTTTATTCCCCAATTCCATCCCAAAATCCCATCCCCAATTCCCTTCCCAGATCCCATCCCCAATCCCATTCCCATTTCCCATTCCCATTTTCCCCCGCAGTCCCTGACCCCGTTCCCAGTTTTTATTCCCCAATTCCATCCCAAAATCCCATCCCCAATTCCCTTCCCAGATCCCATCCCCAATCCCATTCCCATTTCCCATTCCCATTTCCCCCCGCAGTCCCTGACTCCGTTCCCAGTTTTTATTCCCCATTTCCATTCCCAATCCCATTCCCAATCCCATTCCCAATCCCATCCCCATTTTCCCCCCGCAGTCCCTGACCCCGTTCCACGCCCTGGGCTCCCTCCTGGCCCTGCTGGCCCCGCGCTGCTCCGACCCCGTTCCCCGTTTTTATTCCCAAATTCCATTTCCATTCCCAAATCCCATCCCAAATTCCCTTCCCATTTCCCATTCCCATTTTCATTCCCGTTTCCCCCCGCAGTCCCTGACCCCATTCCCAGATTCCATTCCTCATTTCCATCCCCAAATTCCATCCCCATTTCCATTCCCAATTCCCTTCCCAGATTCCATCCCCAATTTCCTTCCCAGATTCCATTCCCGGATTTCATTCCCATTTTCCCCCCCAGTCCCTGACTCCGTTCCCAGTTTCCATTCCCCAATTCCATCCCCAAATTCCATCCCCAGATTCCATTCCCAGATTCCATCCCCATTTCTATTCCCATTCCCATTCCCAGATTCCATCCCCATTCCCATCCCCATTTCCATCCCCATTTCCATTCCCCAAATCCCATCCCCAATTCCATTCCCAGATTCCATTCCCATTTCCATTCCCAAATCCCATTCCCCATTTCCATTCCCAATCCCATTCCCAATCCCATTCCCATTTTCCCCCCGCAGTCCCTGACCCCGTTCCACGCCCTGGGCTCCCTGCTGGCGCTGCTGGCCCCGCGCTGCTCCGACCCCGTTCCCCAAATCCGCCGCCACGCCCTGGATTGCGTCCGGGCCCTGCTGCGCATCCAGCTCTGCTACCAAGGTGAGAAACATTCCCAAAAAAAATTCCCGCTTTCCCACGGCTCCTCAGCGCCGGTTTTTGGGGGTTTTGGGAGTGGTTTTCCCAAGGTTTTTTGGG